TTGGTGGAATCCACAAGTTGGACACCTAGAGGGGCCAACCTATGCATATCACCAATAAATTCCTTCTTCTCATTTTCTACATGAGCCACACTACCCATGGACATTCTACTTAACGCATCCACAACCACAATGGCTTTGCCGGGGTGGTAAAGTACACTTATGTCATAATCCTTTAAAAGTTCTAACCACCTTCTTTGTCGGAGATTCAAATCTTTTTGGCTAAACACATATTGAAGGCTTTTGTGGTCGGTAAACACATCTACATGCATCCCATAGAGATAGTGTCTCCATATTTTCAAAGCAAACACCACCGCCGCTAGTTTGAGATCATGAGTCGGATAATTGTTTTCATGTACCTTGAGTTGCCTTGAAGCATAGGCAATCACTTTACCCCATTGCGTGAGGACACATCCCAAATCCACTCGAGAAGCGTCACAATATACCACAAACCCATCGGTACCCTCCGGTAAGGTCAACACTGGAGCGGATGTGAGTCTATTCTTGAATTCTTGAAAGCTTTTCTCACAAGCCACCGACCACACAAACTTTGTTTTCTTTTGAGTTAAGGCCGTTAATGGAGAGGCAATAGAGGAAAAGCCTTCAATAAACCTTCTATAGTAACCGGCCAAACCCAAAAAAGCTTCTAATATCGATAGGAGCTAGAGGTCTAGGCCACCTCTTGACCGCATCCGTCTTCTTACGATCAACCTCTATACCCATGCCCAACACAATATGACCGAGGAAAGCAACCGACCTTAGCCAAAACTCACACTTGCTAAACTTAGCTTATACTTGGTGTTCTTTAAGGACTTGCAATACTATCCTTAAATTCTTCATATGATCACCCTTACTCCTCGAATAGATCAAAATATCATCAATAAAGACAATCACAAACGAATCAAGATATTGCCTAAATACCCTATTCATTAGATCCATGAACGCCGTCGGGGAATTTGTTAGACCAAAAGACATGACTAGGAATTCATAATGACCATATCTTGTTTGAAATGCCGTCTTAGGAATGTCAACTTCTCTCACCCTAAGTTGGTGGTAGCCCGACCTTAAGTCAATCTTCGAAAAGTAATTCGTCCCTTGGGGTTGGTCAAACAAATCGTCAATTCTAGGGAGAGGGTACTTATTCTTTATAGTGACCTTGTTTAATTGGCGGTAATCAATACACATCCTAAGGGTCCCATTTTTCATCTTCACAAACAAAATCGGCGCACCCCATGGTGATATAATTGGTTGAATAAAACCCTTATCTTGCAAATCTTTAAGTTGTGCCTTCAGTTCCTTCAATTCGGTCGGGGCCATCCGGTAAGGAGGAAGATATCGGTTGTGTATCAGGCAAAAGATCTATGCCGAAGTCAATTTCCCGTTTGGGAGGGATTCCGGGCACGTCATTAGGACAGACTTTCGGAAACTCCCTTACTACGGGGACCGACTCTAATGGAGGAGTCTCAGACTCAAGGTCCTTAACTCTCACAACATGATAGATACAACCCTTAAAAATCATTTTACAAGCTTTTAGACATGAGATAATTCGACCTCTAGAAGTCAAGTTTCGTCCCTTCCATTCTACAATGGGTTCATTAGGAAATTGAAACTTCACAACCCGGGTTTTATAATCTATGGAAGCAAAACAATCCATCCCCAATATGACATCAAAGTCCAACATATCAAGTTCTACTAAATCAACCAATGTGACTCTATTGGACAATGAAATGGGACAACCCCTATACACTCCTTTTGCTATGACCGAATCACAAACCGGGGTAGACATGGAAAAAGGTTCTTTTAGAGTTTCGGGGAGCACATCAAATTTCATAGCCACTAAAGAAGTACTAAAAGATAAAGTGGTACCCGGGTCTAACAATTCATAAACATTAATTGAAAATACTTGCAACATACCGGTAACAACATTCGGGGAGCTCTCTTGATCACCTCGGGATTGGAGAGCATAAAAATGATTCTTCTTAGGAGCATCGGAGTTACCGGAGCCATCCGGGAAGGGGGAATTGATATGGGTTGAGTATTTAGCAAAAGATCAATGCCGAAGTCTATTTCCCATTCGGGAGTAATTTCGGGCAAGTCATCGGGAAAGACTTTCGAAAATTCCCTTACTACGGTGACCGACTCTAAATGAGGAGTCTCGGACTCAATGTCCTTAACTCTTACAATATGATAGATACAACCCTTAGAAATCATTTTACAAGCCTTTAGACATGAAATGAATTGACCTCTAGGGATCGAATCCCCCCCCTCCCCCTTCCATTCCAAAATGGGCTAATTTGGAAATTAAAACTTTACTACCTGTGTTCTACAATCAATGGAAGCAAAACAAGCATGTAACAAATCCATTCCCAAGATGACATCAAAGTCCAATATATCTAAATTCTATCAAATCAAACCAAAGTGACTCTATGAGACAAAGAGATAGGACATCTCCTATACACTCTTTTAGCTATAACCGAATCACCTACCGGGGTAGACACAGAAAAAGGTTCTTTTAACTCTTCGGGAGACACTTCAAATTTCATAGCCACAAAAGGAGTAACAAAAGATAAAGTGGCACCGGGGTCTAATAATGCATAAACATCAATTGAAAATCCTTGTAACATACCAGTAACAACATCCGGGGACCCCTCTTGATCACTTCTAGATTGGAGAGCATAGAAGTGATTCTTCTTGGGAGAATTGGCACTAGAACCACTTAGAGGAGCTTGGTTACCCTCTTTCCCCTTGGCCGCACGAGTTGGACAATCTTTCAATTGATGTCCACGTTTGCTACATCCATAGCACACACCCATTCCGTCAAGACATTTCTCCTCATGTTTCTTACCATACTTGGCACATGTAGGTCTCTTCATAGAAGATTCACCCCTATTTCCTCCTTGAGGCTTAGGGTTAGACACCCTATCTTTGTTGGGTCTTGTAGCATTGGAGGAGCCTTGGTTGGAAAACCTCTTCTTGAACCTTGGTCCACTTTGACCCTCAAACTTACCCTTAGAAGAATTACCATCATTGGACCTTGTCCTCTTTACCTCTCTACTCTTCTTCCTGAGCCTTGATTCCTCAACTTGTTGAGCATAGACAATTAGACGTGAAATGTCCATATTGTCATGAAGCTTAGCCGCACGACATTTTTTCTCAATTGAATCAGACACACCCGTCACGAATCGGCTCATCTCATCTCTAGGATTAGACACCAAAGATGAGGCATATTTGAACAACTTAGTAAATTTCAAGGAGTATTCTTGGACACTCATACCTCCTTGTCTAAGGTTGATAAATTCCTCCACCTTTGCTTCCCTCTTTTCTCGTGGAAAGAACCTATCAAGGAATGCCTTCTTGAACACTTCCCAAGTTATGTGACCCGCTCTTATAGCCCTATTATCCTTCCATTGAGTAAACCATACTTGGGCCACATCCTTCAATTGATACCCCGTAAGTTTGGCTTTCTCTATAGAGGTCACCCCCATAGCATCCACTATCTTGTAGACCTCTTTCGAAAACTCTTGTGGGTCTTCATTCACCTTGGAACCCAAGAAAATAGGAGGGTTCATCCTAGTAAAGTCTTAACCTTGAATTCATGGTGATTGCATTAGGATTCACTCGGGGCCCACCTTTCCTATTTGCTTGAGTCGTGATAGGTTGGGATTGAGTGGTGACGACTTGAGTTTGAACCATCATGAGTTGAGTCAAGGTTTGGAGAGCCGCCCTTATCTCTACATTCATCTTAGCTCCCTCATCATTAGGAACTTGACTAGCTTGAGGACCTTAAGGGTCTTGAGGATCTTGAGGAGGAACTCCCTTATTCACCATCTCTTCTACCCTTCTTCTTAAGTTTGCCCTTCTTGTATTCATTTCCTATAATCACAAGAGAAGGGTGAGAAGAAAGGACTTCATAGATTTAGAACTCCAAAGCACGACTAAAGAGTAATGAAAGAAGGGAATGTTCCTAAACATCTTATAGCCTATTATTCATAAGTGAGGCGCAGTTCACACTCTTGAACAAAACTCTATTAGGCACGGTGCATGAGACATCAACCTAAATATTATTCCCAAAACCTTATGCACTGATACCAAGTTTGTCACGACCCGAGAGTACCCGCTAGACGTAACACGGCGTACTTGACCCCGAAGGGGTCTCATACAAGCCTCTAACATCATCATTACATAAGACATAGAAAATAATGCAGAAATTTAAAAATTTTACAATAGAAGTCCAACTTCACTTTTCTTAGAAGAAAATCATAGGAAATCTAGACTTTGTCTCATACACCATCTAAAACATAGGAATACAAAATTTGGGACTTAGCCCGTTACATCAATAAAAGTCTCAACATGAGAAGTACAATAGAAACTAGAAATAGGAAATCCTATCCTCGAACTTGAGGACTCACCACAACTTGGAGATAAGCAATCCAAGTCTTCTTCAAAGATGAGTGAAAGTCACCTACCCGGAACCTACACTTATTAAGATGTAGAAGAAAGAAGGGGTTAGCACATAATATGTACTAAGTATGGAAACAAGAACAAAATCCTAAAATATGATAAAAAAAAGACATTTTTATTTGAAAAGTATGCCTTTGTCAAGTTTAGAAACCAACATGAATTTACAATGTACAACACAAGCCATAATCACACTTACACTCATTACATGATAATATCAACACCTTAGCAACCTCTAAGGAACACTTGTGCAATGTATGGTTGGCATCCCATAATACCAACCCTACTAAGTACCCCCTTGAAGCTACCTTGGTCATGCATATCACCTTTAGACCTCATTATAATCATTAGTCACCAATACAGAAATAGTCATGAACATTACTTTGAATACAAGG